TTGGGTCACACCCGGCGATGCTCAGGGGTTACTCCTGGCTCTGCACTCAGGACTTACTCCTGGCAGTGCTCGGGGGACCACATGGGATGCTGGGAATCGAACCCGGGTCGGCCGCGTGCAAGGCAAACGCCCTAGCCGCTGTGCTATCGCTCCAGCCCTTCTCATACACATCCTTAATCTGGATTGACCTTCAAGTACCAGCGTGAGCCTTCTCTTTGCCCTATGTGTAACCACAAGAATGTGGGAGACGTAATCTGTAGAGCCTACGTGTCCAGCTCCATATCTTCCTCTGGCATTTTTTAATCATAACAACATCGCTTTGACTGCAGAGCTTTGACAAGACGATGTCGACCCTGATGTTCTTTTGACATCCTATGCTTGTTTGTACTCTTGTTAGTGAGCCTTTCTCTGTGATGAAGTCGGAGTTAGGATGTAGCTGATTGAAAAATAGAATAAAAGGAGGCCTCTGGCAGTTTCTCTGTGCCTCGAGCCAGAACGAGCCCTGGCTTGTTAAAAAATTATGTCGGGGGGCTGGAGTGATAGCACAGCAGGGAGGGCGTTTGCCTTGCACGCGGCCGACCTGGGTTTGATTCCCAGCATCCCACATGGTCCAGAAGTAATTCCTGAGTGCAGAGCCAGGAGTAACCCCTGTGCATTGCCGGGTGTGACCTAAAACAGAAAAAAAAAATTCCATCGGGACTGCAGGGTCTCCCAGAAGCCGGAGTCGTAGTAAAAAATGGGCAATTCGACATCGCAGCAGGATGCGTATATTGACGTCCTGAACTCTTTGGCAAAGGCAGCTGGTCTGCCTTTGAAGGAACAAGTATGCAGCACCTCCTCGAGAGGGTACTTAAGTATTGTTATTGGTTTGAGCCCAGGAGTAGAGAACAGTTCGATTTGAAACTGTGGGGGAAAGTAGGAAAAGAATTGTGTCGCGTGCATCAGGAAGGGGACTTGATCCCTGCAATGTATTTGGGGCGAGTATGCTGTAATTATCACCGCCCTGATTCCTCAGCATGAGTCTGGTCAAAAATCAGAACAACTAGCTTTTCCAGTGAGACCTAGCCGGATGCGCTGGAGGGTCGCGGGTCGGGGAGCGTGGGAAACCTCCCCACTGCCCCCGGGACACCCCAGTCTAGAGACGACAGATTCTGAAGCTTAAACAGAGAGGGGAGATGTTGGTGCTGAGCCAGGACATTAGGGCGAGCCTCTGGACACTGCCCTGCAGGCAGGAAGCAGAACCGAGGCCCGACTTCACACGAGGGGGGCAAACTGAAAACTTGGGAGTCCGATGACCTGGAGATTCCTCTCGCGCGTTCTGTCTCCGTGCCTCCAACCGGAAGGACGGTCATGCAACGTGCTCCCTCTGCAGTGATGCTCCCTCGGGAGTGGTGCTCCCTCTAGAGTAGTACTCCCTCTGGAATGGTGCTCCCTCTGGAGTGGTGCTCCCCTTCAGTGATACTCCCCCTGCAGTGATGCTCCTTCTGGCATGGTGCTCCCTCTGGAGTGGTGCTCCCCAGCAGTGCTGCTCCCCCTGCAGTGATGCTCCCTTTGGCGCGGTGCTCCCCCTGTAGTGCTCCCCCTGCAGTGATGCTCCCTCTAGCGCAGTGCTCCCCTGAAGTGATGCTCCCTTTGGCATGGTGCTCCCCCTGGAATGGTGCTCCCTCTGGAATGGTGCTCCCTCTGCAGTGCTGCTCCTTCTGGCATGGTGCTCCCTGTGGGGTGGTGCTCTCCCTGCAGTGCTGCTCTCTCATCAGTGATACTCCCCCTTCAGTGATGCTCCCTCTGGTGCGGTGCTTCCCCTGTAGTGGTGCTCCCCCTGCAGTGATGCTTCCTCTGGCGAGGTGCTCCCCCTGGAGTGGTGCTCCCCTTGGTATGGTGCTCCCCCTGGAGTGGTGCTCCCCCTGCAGTGCAGCTGCCCCCCACTCTGGCAGTCTGGCGGGGCAGAGTGAGTCCACAGGTGGTCTCTGGAAGGAGCATTTGCCACCGGGGAGGTGCGTGTGGGGTAGGGACTCTGGGGACCAGTGGTGCAGTGTGGTCGCCTGTGCTGGGGGACCCCTGAGTGCCCCTGGTCTGAGGACAGGAGAGAGGGGCAAGGAACCCCCTCTTCTGCCTGCACCCGGGGCTCTCGGCTTCCTCCCCCTCTGTCCCTCCTCCATCGCCCTCCTCCCTCTTCCCTCTCTGCCTCCTCTCTCCTCCCCTCCACCCTTCCCGCCTGGCTCCTCCTCGGTCTTGCCCCCTGGAGAGGCCCCAATACAGCGTGTCCAGGCAGGGGTCCTGGGGAGCTCCGTAGACTTTATCCCCAGCTGACCTCTGCACAGGCGGCCACCAGGGTGGCCGCGGAGACACGGACTGTGGCCAGAGGGTGTGTGCCAGGCCGGGTCATGCTCCCCATGCCCAGCGGTCAGGGGCACTCCCGTCTGCCTGCAGGGGCGGGGACGGCCAGAGGCAGGCCGGGGTCCACTGCCACCCGCAGGTGCCACTCCAGCCGCTGGCTCAGCGGACAGTGTAGGGTCAGGAGGGCAGGCCCAGGTCACAGGCTCCCCAGGAGACGCCATCCTTCCTTCAGAGCCGACTCGAACTTTCCAAACGTGGACCCAGGGAAGAAAAGCCCATTCTTCCCCGGGCCTGGTGTGTGGGTGGGGGGGGGCCGGGGGAGGACTGGGGGAGGCGCGTGGGGGGGGGGGCGTGCTGGGCAGGGTCCATGCCTGCCCGGCCAGTTACTTGGGGGTGGGACCTGCCTCCTCGCCCAGCGCCCACACACGGTTGCCCAGAAATACCTCTGCTATCCCCGGCAGCTACCTCCCGCGGCGCCTTCATGGTTTGGGGGGGCCCGCACGGCGGGGGTGCAGTGGACGGGCAGCCCGGAGGCATCTGACCAGCCCCAGGAAGCGGCTTGCTCAGTCCCAGCACTGGGTGATGACTCACGCTCACCCTGGGACGCCGGCTCGGAGCCCCGGGTCCGTGGCCCACCCCAGCCCGTCTCGGAGGCCCCCTCTGGCCTGTCCCCTGTGCTCAGCACCCGTGTCCTGCGTGTCCCTGATGCTTCTCTCTGGAACCTGGGTCCGGTCTCACCGCGAGGAAAGGCCTCTCAGAGGGGCCCCAGAGCCGTCCTGGCCCTCCTGTAAGCCCCCTGCCTCTCCCCAACCCTGTCTGGGTGCTACCGGGCAGGGGGGAGCTGTCCACGCTGCGGGCCCACGCTGCGCCAGCCTCATAGGGTTGGGGCGAGGGGCGAGAAGGACACTCGGTGCCAGGGCTAGGTGGGGGGCCCAGAGCTGGGCCTGGGGCCAGCCCCCATCCCGGCCCTGCGCCCTCCCCAGGGTCTACCCATCCCGGGAGGCCGTGGGAACACAGGTCCAGTTTAGGCACCTGCTGCCGAGTGCTCGCAGAGGGACAGAGACAGGACAGCCCTGCCCCCACATAGGCCCGAGGCTGTGCGGGCGCCTCTCCTGGCTGCGACAGGGACCCCGGGCTGGGGGCGGCCCTGGCCTCCCACCCTCCCTATCAGTCTGCCATCTCTGCCCGCTGCTTTGAACTCGCTGGTGTGGCCGGTGTGGCCCGTTCCTCCGGGCCTCAGAGAGCAGGTACAAAGGCTTGTCCTGGGACCAGCCCCTCCCCCCGGAGCCTCTGTCCCTGGGTTTCCCTGCCCCCACCCACGTCCACACGGCAGCCCGGGAGCAAAGACTAGTGGGCCCCCTGACCGGGACCCTCGTTTGCGGCCCCTTGGCTTTCCTTTAATTCTCGGGGAGCCGGGCACCCCTGTCCAGGCAGAGAGCCTCGCCTCTGGGGGCTGCGTGTCTCAAATTTGGGGTCCGAGCCGCAGCCCTGGGAGGTGCTGGCTTAGCTAGCCCTGCTCAGACCCCATGGGGACCCACCTGCCTCTGTCCCCTGTCCCCTGAAGCCTCCCACGGTGGCTTCCGTGTCTGGGCCGGAGTTTGAGTGTGGAAAGTGGACATATGGGGTGTTGCCTTGACCACGACCTGGGCCAGCACATGTGTTTGTGTGTGCGTCTGCACACACTCAAGGTGGACGCTGGTCTCCTGTGGGCTCTGGGTGCCAGTGTGAGCCCAGGATCCCTGCGCTTCCCCAGCTGCTGAGGGCCTGGATGGGAGATGTCCAGTCCCCTGGTTTCCAAGATGCCAAGGGCGACCCAGTTGTCCTTGAGCTTTCTGGGACCCTCAGACCTCTGGGAACCGTGAGTGGATGTGCCTCCTAGATCTCCGGGAAGGACCGGACCGACACCAGCCTAGCACTCGACTTTGCTGTCAAACCCAGACCCCAAGCCTTCAGATGAATGAATTTTTTTTCCTTTTTGGGTCACCGCCAGCGATGCACAGGGGTTCTTCCTGGCTCTACACTCAGGAACTACTCCTGGTGGTGCTCAGGGGACCCTATGGGATGCTGGGGATTGAACCCAGGTAGACTGCATGCCAGGCAAACGCCCTCCCCGCTGGACTGTTGCTCCAGCCCCTGAATGAAAATTTTTTTTTTTTGCTTTTTGGGTTACATCCGGCGATGCACAGGGGTTCCTCCTGGCTCATGCACTCCTGGCGGTGCTCAGGGGACCCTATGGGATGCTGGGAATGGAACCCGGGTCGGCCACGTGCACGGCAAACGCCCTCCCCCCGCACTGTGCCGACGCTCCAGACCCCTGAATGAAATTCTGAAGTTTCATTTTACTTTTTCGATTTGTTTGGAATTTAGGCCACGCGCAGCAGGGCTCAGGGATTCTCGGGGGCCATAGGGGATGGAACCCGGGCTGGGGGTCGGCTGTCTGCAAGGCAAGCGCCCTCTCCGCTGTGCTTTGGTTCTGGAAAGTACCGGCTGCTCTGGGCTGGGGTGCTGGGCGCCGCGGGGATGGGGTACCCAGGGAGGGGGGATGGAGCCCTGGGGGGGGGCAGGGGCCGGCACTGGGCACGCCCCTGCCCCACCCCCAACCCAGGGGGCCAGCGCAGGGTACGCGGTGTCCTCCAGGCGGGTCCCTCTCGCCCGCCCTGCAGATGGCCTCGGTGGCCAAGGTCTACTACAGCCAGACGACGCAGACGGAGAGCCGCCCGCTGGTGGGCCCGGGGCTGCGGCGGCGGCGCGTGCTGACCAAGGACGGCCGTAGCAACGTGCGCATGGAGCACATCGCCGACAAACGCTTCCTCTACCTCAAGGACCTGTGGACCACTTTCATCGACATGCAGTGGCGCTACAAGCTGCTGCTCTTCTCGGCCACCTTCGCCGGCACCTGGTTCCTCTTCGGCGTGGTGTGGTACCTGGTGGCCGTGGCGCACGGGGACCTGCTGGAGCTGGGCCCGCCGGCCAACCACACGCCCTGCGTGGTGCAGGTGCACACGCTCACGGGCGCCTTCCTCTTCTCGCTCGAGTCGCAGACCACCATCGGCTACGGCTTCCGCTACATCAGCGAGGAGTGCCCGCTGGCCATCGCCCTGCTCATCGTGCAGCTGGTGCTCACCACCATCCTGGAGATCTTCATCACGGGCACCTTCCTGGCCAAGATCGCGCGGCCCAAGAAGCGCGCCGAGACCATCCGCTTCAGCCAGCACGCCGTGGTGGCGGCCCACGACGGCAAGCCCTGCCTCATGATCCGCGTGGCCAACATGCGTAAGAGCCTGCTCATCGGCTGCCAGGTCACGGGCAAGCTCCTGCAGACGCACCAGACCAAGGAGGGCGAGAGCATCCGCCTCAACCAGGTCAACGTGGCCTTCCAGGTGGACACGGCCTCCGACAGCCCCTTCCTCATCCTGCCGCTGACCTTCTACCACGTGGTGGACGAGGCCAGCCCGCTCAAGGACCTGCCGCTGCGCAGCGGGGAGGGCGACTTCGAGCTGGTCCTCATCCTCAGCGGCACCGTGGAGTCCACCAGCGCCACCTGCCAGGTGCGCACGTCCTACCTGCCCGAGGAGATCCTCTGGGGCTACGAGTTCACGCCCGCCATCTCGCTCTCGGCCAGCGGCAAGTACGTGGCCGACTTCAGCCTCTTCGACCAGGTGGTCAAGGTGGCGCCGCCCGCCGGCCTCCGCGACGGGGACCCCGAGAAGCTGAAGCTGGAGGAGTCGCTGCGGGAGCAGGCGGAGAAGGAGGGGGGCGCCCTGAGCGTCCGCATCAGCAACGTCTGACGGGGGGGGCCCCACGCCCGCCGGCCAGAGCGGCCCGCGACCCCGACACACACACACACACACACACATCCCCCGCCCCTACCCTGTGCCTCCCTGCTCACCGGCTGGGGTGCGGGGGGGCCCGAGAGAAGAGGAGGCTTGGAGACTGGCCCCAGGGACCGCGCCGCTGGGTGGGCGCTCTCAGCTGCCTGGCCAGCGGGTTCCCGGAGGCCAGACCCTCTCCCCCCCCCCGCTTCAGGAAGATGGGACTGCACCCCCGCTCGGGCTCCCCGGCTCCGGGCACCCAGGAGGAGGACTGAGCTGTCCCCCTCCCTACAAGGGTCCTGCCCCTAGAAAATGAAGATTAGCACCAGGGAGCCAGTGCTGACGGTCACTCCGGACCCCAAGTGTGTCCCCCACCCGCCCCAGTCACCCAGCCCCCCTCCGCCCCTCTCCCACCAGCCCCGCCCCAGGCAAGGCCTCCCCCACCCAGCCCGGACTCCTGCTGGCCCATCCCCAAGAGGGGACAGCACACCAGCAGTGGCCAGGAGGGGACAGCACACCAGCGGCAGCCACAGGGAATTCACGCAGATTCCCGGTGCCTTTGGGAGGTCGGGGCCAAGCCCGGAGCAACCCAGGACCACATATCCCTGAGAAGTGCCAGCCATGTCTGGATGCAGAGGGGTGCAGGGGGCTCAGCCTTTTCATCCCAGACACATGCCCCCCGCCCCCCCGTCATGCCCGGGAAAGGCACTGACTCGGCGGACGCTGCCCCTGCACAGCTGTGCTCAGGTACCTGAGTGCTGCTGGACCCTTCTGGGCCCCTGGGTGGGGGGAGGGTGTGGAGCAGGTGTGTTAGTCCCAGGGGTCTCACCCTGGTTCTAAGCTCCACCTGCGCTGGTGTGCAGTCGGGAGGGACCCCCACAGTGGCTGCACCAGTGCATCCCCTCAGCTCCCCGTGCCCAGAAGGAACCCCCCGCCCCCTCCCATGGCAGCCCCCTGTCCCCCAGCCCCCCCCAGGAGACTGGACCAGACACCCACAGAAGCAGAGCCAGTTCCTGGGCCCCTGGCGTCCTCCACCCCGACTCCCCGGCTCTTCCCCAGGGAGGGTGGACATCCTGCAGGAGGGTGGGCGTGAGCGCGTGTGCAAGCCATGTATGCCTCTGCAGGCATGTGAAGGCGCGTGCGTGCAAGTGAGAGTGAGCGCGACTGTGTGAATGGGTACGTGCGTGTGTGCAAGTGCATGTGTGTTTGCACATGGGTGCGAGTGCGTGTGTGCAAGTGCACATGCATGTGTGTTTGTGCATGGGTGCGAGTGTGTGCGTGCAAGTGCACATGCATGTGTGTGCACATGGGTGCGAGTGCGTGCGTGTGTGTGCAAGTGCACATGCATGCGTGTTTGCGCATGGGTGCGAGTGTGTGCATGTGTGTGTGCAAGTGCACATGCATGTGTGTTTGCACATGGGTGCGAGTGCGTGCGTGTGTGTGCAAGTGCATATGCATGTGTGTTTGTGCATGAGTGCGTGCATGCGTGTGTGTGCACGTGCATATGCCAGCGTACGTGTGGCTGGCTGCAAGCGTGCAGGTGCCCCCACAGTTCTGGCGAGCCCTGAGGTCCCACCAGCGCCCCCTCCCCCAGACTAGACAATGTCCTCTCACCCTTTGGCTCCACACGCAAACTCTGCCTTAAGTTGCACTTTACGCCCCAGTTCTGGGATGCACTTGGCCCCTCCCTCCCGGGGGCTTCCACCCCCAGCCTCCAGCCACCAGCCCCTGCCGTCAGGCCGGAGAAGCAGCGGCCCCCCCAGGGAGCCAGTTGTGCACGGGAGGTGGGAGCCGGCCGGCCCCTCTGAGGAGGAGAGACTTCATCTGTGTGTAGAGACGGGACGCAGCAGCCGCTGAGAGCACAGACCCTGCTCAGTGGGTGGGCGGGTGGCACCCCGGGCTCGCGCGTGGAAGGGAGGGTGCTGCTGTGTCTGGGGGGTGCGGGTGGCGCCTTCTGAGACAGGATTCCGGTCTGCAGCGCCCTGTGGCTGCTCGTCCCACCAGGTCCACACCTCGTTGGGAAATAAAAGTGCCTTCTGCTTCCTCCTTCCAAGTTCACGGTTTCCCCCTCCTCCCGCTGGGCGGGGGCCTTGGAACACCAGCTCCCAGGGGAGGCCCGGAAGTGGCAGAATCCCCGCCCAGGGCCAAGAGCTGCTGGGCCCGAGATGCTGCAAGGCAGAGGCCCGGGGCCCAGGGCGCCGAGCAAGCGCGAGTTCGCAGCCCCTGCGCCCTCCGCAGCCTGCGTTTCACCGGGAGGCTCAGTAGCGGCCAAGGGCCACCCCCTAGGGCCAGGGCGACCACCCGCTGCTAGTTACTCGGTCTGCCTGCAGGTAACAGCTCCCTCGTGGGCTCGGCAGTGCTAACCCGACGCCCGCAGAGGCATCTAGGAACGCTTCCCCCTCACTGCGCTACAGACTAAACCCAGCCCGCGCACGGAAGGAAGGAAGGAAGGAGACTCCAGGGAGGCTCTGGTTTATTGGATGTTACTGTCTGTTCAGAACGAGCTACTAAATAAAACATGATTCTGCTCTTTGCCGGCTTCTCTGAAGGATGAACCAGCCTGCTCGGGGGGGGGGGGGGGGGGGGGGGGGGCCCTCTCGGTGGTCCTGGGGAGTCTCCACCTGCCTCCCTTCGATCCCCGGTCCCCTTCCTGGGGTCTGCAAGAGCCTGCACCAGCCCCTCCCAAGCCCAGGCAGGGAGACTGGGGTTCCTGGGGACCCACAGCTCAGACCTGGAGCCCAGGGGGCGGTGGCCCACCCCGGCTGCGGGTCCGTCTCACTGGCCCCTGCACACACACTTGCATGCACTTTTGCAGTTGCACGCCTGCTGGGAAGCAGCTCGTGCCCCCGGTTGCGGGCCCCTCTCACTGGCACCTGCACATGGGTGCTTGCACACGCATATTTGCAATACACACTGGCACGCACTTCCTCAGTTGCACGCCAGCTGGGAAGCAGCTTATGCCCCGGTCGCGGTTCCGTCTCACTGGCCCCTGCATGCTTGCACACGCATATTTGCACACACACTGGCCCGCACCTGCTTGCATACACACTTGCACGCGCTTTCGCAGCTGCACGTCTGCTGGGAAGCAGCTCGTGCCCCCGGCCGGGGCCCGTCTCCGGTTCCCTTTGCAGCCGGGAACGGGGGTCAGCGCCTGGCCCGCGCTGGGAGTCGGGAACACCCCTGGTCCCATCTCCGAGACGCGGGGTGGCCCCCCGGGCCGGGTCGCAGCCACCAACAGCGGTGCCGCAACGCACCGGGACCGGTCACCCGGCGCGAGCGGAAGCCCCGCCCACGGCTCCCCGCGACCAATCCGGAGCCCTCGCGCACGGGCCGGCTTGCGGCGCGCGCGAAAGCCCCGCCCGCGACAGGAGGCCCCGCCCACGGGGAGGAGAGACGAGGGCTCCCCGCGACCAATCCGGAGCCCGCGCGCTCAAGCCCCACCCGCGACCGGAGGCCCTGCCCACGTGGAGGAGGAGGAGCGAGGGCTCCCCGCGACCAATCCGGAGCCCGCGCGCAAAAGCCCCGCCCGCGACCGGAGGCCCCGCCCACGTGGGGAGGAGGGGCAAGGGCTCCCCGCGACCAATCCGAAGCCCGCGCGCACAAGCCCCGCCCGCGACCGGAGGCCCCGCCCACGGGGAGGAGGGGCGAGGGCTCCCCGCGACCAATTCGGAGCCCGCGCGCAAAAGCCCCGCCCGCGACCGGAGGCCCCGCCCACGTGGGGAGGCGGGGCGAGGGCTCCCCGCGACCAATCCGGAGCCCGCGCGCACAAGCCCCGCCCGCGACCGGAGGCCCCGCCCACGTCCGCCCGCGACCGGAGGCCCCGCCCACGGGGAGGAGGGGCGAGGGCTCCCCGCGACCAATCCGGGGCCCGCGCGCACAAGCCCCGCCCGCGACCGGAGGCCCCGCCCACGCGGGGAGGAGGGGCAAGGGCTCCCCGCGACCAATCCGATGCCCGCGCGCACAAGCCCCGCCCGCGACCGGAGGCCCCGCCCACGTCCGCCCGCGACCGGAGGCCCCGCCCACGTGGGGAGGAGGGGCGAGGGCGCCCCGCGGCCAATCCGGGGCCCGCGCGCAGGGCCGGCTTCCGGCGCGCGCGCGCGGCGTCAGCGGCGCGCCGGAAGCCACCCGGAAGCGCGGAGCGGTCAGCGGCCGGCATGGGCCCCCGCGCGGAGCGGGCGCCGCTGCACCTGCGGCCGGCCGGCGCCGTGGCGCTGGCCGTGGCGGCGCGCGTGGCGCTGGTGCTCTACGGCGAGCTGCAGGACCGCGCGCTGCGCGTGCGCTACACCGACGTGGACTACGCCGTGCTGTCGGACGCCGCGCGCCTGCTGGCCGCCGGCCGCTCGCCCTACGCGCGCGCCACCTTCCGCTACTCGCCGCTGCTCGGCTGGCTGCTGGTGCCCGGGCAGCGGCTGGGCGCGCTCTTCGGCAAGCTGCTCTTCGCCGCCGCCGACGTGCTGGCCGCGCTGCTGCTGCTGCGCCTGCTGCGCCGCCGCGGCCTGGGCGCGCGCGCCGCCTGCGCGCACGCCGGCCTGTGGCTCTTCAACCCGCTGCCGCTGGCCGTGTCCAGCCGCGGCAACGCCGACGCGCTCGTGGCCTGCCTGGTGCTGGCGGCGCTCGACCTGCTGGCGCGGGGCCGCGCGGCGGGCGCCGGCGCCGCCTACGGGCTGGCCGTGCACCTGAAGCTCTACCCGGTGACGCACCTGCTGCCGCTGGCGCTGCACCTGCGGCCGCCGCGCGCGCCCGGCCCGCGCCGCCTCCGCGCCGACCTGCGGCGCCTGGCGGGCCCCGCCGTGCTGCGCTTCCTGGGCGCGGCGGCGCTGGCCTTCCTGGGCCTGGGCGCGGCCTGCCACGCGCGCTACGGCTGGGACTTCGTGGAGCACGCCTACCTGTACCACGTCACGCGCCGCGACACGCGCCACAACTTCTCGCCCTACTTCTACCTGCTCTACCTGACGGCCGAGAGCCCCTGGGCGCGCGCGCTCGGCCTGGCCGCCTTCCTGCCGCAGCTGGCGCTGCTGCTGGCCGCCTCGGCCGCCTTCCACGGCGACCCGGCCTTCTGCTGCTTCCTGCACACGGCCGTGCTCGTGAGCTTCAACAAGGTGTGCACGTCGCAGTACTTCGTCTGGTACCTGAGCCTGCTGCCGCTCGTGGCGCCGGGGCTGCGCCTGGGCCGCGCGCGCGCCGCCGCGCTGCTGCTGCTCTGGTTCGCGGCGCAGGCGCTCTGGCTGGCGCCCGCCTACCTGCTGGAGTTCCGGGGCCGCAACACCTTCCTGCTCCTCTGGCTGGCCGGCCTCTTCTTCCTGCTGGTCAACTGCGCCATCCTGGCGCAGGTCATCGCGCACTACCGGCCGTGGCCGCGGCCCCCGCCCCCGGCGCGGCGGCGGCGGGTCAGGGTCAAGGCCGACTGAGCGGCGCCGGGGGGCGCCGGCGGGGACCCCGGGCCCCTGGCCCCTCCCGGCTCTGCACGCCCCGCGGCGTGGCGCGCTTCTGGGACCTCGCGGGACGCGCCCCCCGCCCGGCGTTTCGTGGGGCGGGGAGGGAAGGCGACGGGCACCACACACACCCACCTGGCGGAGCTCAGGTGTTACCTGGACCCGCGCGCAGGAAGCGCTCCTCGGGCAGGGCGTGGGCCCTGCGCGCAGCCTCCCGGTTCGGTTCGATCCCCAGCATCCCAGCCATAGGGCCCCCCGAGCACCGCCTGGAGTCATTGCTGAGTGCCGAGCCAGCCTGGGGTAACCCCTGTGCGTCACCGGGTGTGCCCCCCGAAAGAAAAGCATTCTTGGTGGTGCTCCAGTGTTACCTGGCCCCGCGCTCAGGAAGCGCTCCTCGGGCAGGGCGTGGGCCCTGCGCGCAGCCTCCCGGTTCGGTTCGATCCCCAGCATCCCAGCCATAGGGACCCCCGAGCACCGCCAGGAGTCATTGCTGAGTGCCGAGCCAGCCTGGGGTAACCCCTGTGCACCACCGGGTGTGCCCCCAGAAAGAAAAGCATTCCTGGCGGTGCTCCAGTGTTACCTGGCCCCGTGCTCAGGAAGCACTGAGCGTTGACCTTGCGCGCAGCCCACCCGGTTGGGTTCAATCTCCAGCATCCCAGCCACAGGGCCCCCGAGCACCGCCAGGAGTCATTGCTGAGTGCCGAGCCAGCCAGGGGTAACCCCTGTGCGTCACCGGGTGTGCCCCCCGAAAGAAAAGCATTCCTGGCGGTGCTCCAGTGTTACCTGGCTCTGCGCTCAGAAGCACTCCTCGGGCAGGGCGTGGGCCCTGCGCGCAGCCTCCCGGTTCGGTTCGATCCCCAGCATCCCATCCATAGGGCCCCCGAGCACCGCCAGGAGTCATTGCTGAGTGCCGAGCCAGCCTGGGGTAACCCCTGTGCACCACCGGGTGTGCCCCCCAGAAAGAAAAGCATTCCTGGCGGTGCTCCAGTGTTACCTGGCCCCGCGCTCAGGAAGCGCTCCTCGGGCAGGGCGTGGGCCCTGCGCGCAGCCTCCCGGTTCGGTTCGATCCCCAGCATCCCATCCATAGGGCCCCCGAGCACCGCCAGGAGCGATTCCTGAGTGCCGAGCTTGCTAGGGTAACCCCTGTGCTTCGCCGGGTGTGAACCTGCCCCCCCACCCCCCAAAAAAAGCATTCCTGGATGTGCTTGAGGGACCGTGGCGGATGCCGGGGATCGAACCCCAGTCCGCATTATTGCGGGGCAAGTGGCCACCCCGCTGTATTGTCACCTGTCCAGTGTCCCGGCCCCGGATGGTTAGCGTCTGAGGTCGGTAGCTAGGGTGAGGTCTCAGCACTTAGATGAAATTCATCCACTTTCACTTATTCGTTGGCAGACTTCAGGCCACACCAGAGGGTGCTGGGCTGGGGTGTGTTTTGCGGGGGGGCGCCTGAGGGGCTGCTCCCACCTCTGCTGGGATCAAACCCAGCTTGGCTGCTTAAGAGACAAGTGCCTTAACCATCTTTATCCACCTTTAAACTTGAGTTGTGTAAATTTTTTCTTTTTTTGTTTGAGGTGTGTGTGTGTTTTAAAAAAAAACACCTTGCTCTCTGAGACCCATTTCCGGAACTCCCTTTGTTGGCGTTTTTCGTTTTCTGATTGAAAGGTACCTTCCTCTAGACTCCCAACTTCCCGGTGCTGGTTCCTGTTAAGAAGCCTTAGATGATTAAAAACTTGAGACGTTTCTCCCAAACGGCCCCTGTGAGTGTTGTGTGGTAGAGCTGACGGGCCCCCCAAAAGGATCCGGGGGGCAGCACCCTGTCCAAGGACGAGGCGGGGTGGGCGTCACCCCGCAGAGGATCAGGAAACTTCTCCGTCCCTGGAGCAGTGAGTCCAGAGCAGAGGGTGACGCAGCCCAGCCCCCCCGGCCAGGATCACCACGGACACCTGCTTGCAGAAGCCTTTCATGACTCGGTTCCTGTCACACTTCACCCCGCATCTCAGGCCCGGGGGCTGGAGGTCACTGCACAGTACATAGAGCTACAGTTGCTGCGACAGCGGGAGCTCACCTCCACCTTGAATCAGTTCCCTTACCTCCGTCTCAGCCCCTCACCTCCAGCCCTCCACCATAGCCCCCTCATCTACATCTCAGCTCCACCTCAGTTCCTCACCTCCACCTCAGCACCCTTACCTCTACCTCAGCCCCTTACTTCTACCTCAGTCCCTCACTTTCATCACAGCCCCTCACCTCCGTCTCAGCCCCCTCACCATCACCTCAGTTCCTCACCTCTAATTGAGCCCCTCTCACCCCTCACTTCCATCTTAGCCCCCTCACCTCCACCTCAGGTCCTCAGCTCCACCTCAGCCTCTCACCTTCATCACAGCCCATCGCCTCCATCTCAAACCCTTCACCTCCACTTTAGCCCTCACCTCCACCTCCTCAGTGCTGCTTCTTCTCCACCTCAGCCCCTTTACCTCAGTACCTCACATCAGCCTTAGTCCCCTCAGCTCCACTTCAGTGCCTCGTCTCCATGATTAGCCCCGTCACCTCTGCCTAGTCCCTCAACTTCACTAAGCCCCCTCACTCACCTCCAACTTGGCATCTGAACTCACCTCCACCTCGGTCCTTCACCGCCCCCTCAGCCCCCTCATCCCCCTCACCTCCAACTCAGCCCCTGATGACTGACTCAGCCCCTCACCTCCACCACAGCCCTTCACCTCCGCCTAGTCCCTCACCTCTCAGCCCCCTCCACTCTGTCTCAGCCCATTATCTCCACCTAAGTCCCTCCCCTGCCACAGCCCCTCCCACCTAGGTCCCTCACCTCCTTCTCAGTCCTTCACCTCTTGACCTACAAGATCACCTTGTAGACCTTGATCTACAGCCCATCACCTCGATCTTAGGACCCCTCCACCTCATTCACTCAACACCTCAGCCCTCACCTCCACCTCAGCTCCTCACCTCCACCTCAGCCCCACACCTCCACCTCAGTCCCTCACCTCCACCTCAGCGCCACACCTCCACCTCAGTCCAGTCCCACTCAGTCCCCTTCACCTTCACCAGTCTCCTCACCACGTGAGTCCCCTCACCTCCACACCTCCACTCAGCCCCCTCTGGTCCACCTTACTCCCACCTCTGTTCCTTTACCTCCACCTCGTTCCTCACCTCCACCACAGCCCCTCACCTCCACTTTCTTCTCGCCTCCAGCTCAGCCCCTCACCACCACAGCCCCTCGCCTCCATCTCTTTCCCCTCACCTCCACCACAGCCCCCCTCACTTCCTGCTTAGCCCCCTCTCTTCCACCTCTGTCCCTCAGTTCCACCTCAGCCCCTCACCTCCATCTCCTTCCCCTCACCTCCAGTCATCCCTCTCGCCTCCAGCCTTGTCGAACTGTACCTCGAGCCCAAGCCACCCCCTTCGCTCCTCAGTGCTTGTCCCTCCCGGTCTCAGGGCTTGCCTGAGGGTCCCCAGATATGGCCCCTGTCCCTGCTCTCCTGTCCTTGGTTCAGTTTGAGGAGGCTGCCCATTGTGGCCCAGTGCCCGCCCCAGTGGCATCCTATGACACATGTGGCAGGACCCCGTCCCAGAGCACAACGACGCCACCTCAGTCCCAATTTCCGAGCAGAGGGGACCTGGCCAGGCGAGAGTCACCCATCCCCAGGCCACACGGATGCTGCCCGGCATGTACTGACCCAGTTCCCACAGGGAAGAAGAGGTTGGGGGGACTTTGAAATAAACTGGGGACGGTGTGGAGATAGCACAGTGGTTAGGACACTTGCCTTGCGGGTAACCCGGTTTTGATCCCAGCACCCAGTACGACCCCTCGAGCCCCACCAGCATTGATCCCCGAGCACAGCCAGGAGTGGCACAAAACCAACATCACACGGAGCTGAGGGTCCTGAACTTGGTCTAAGCGCCATGTCCCCGAGTGGCCACACGAGGGCGCCCCATCCCACGTCCTGGGCATGATTTCCTGCCCCAAACTGGCTCTAATTTTGTAGTTTCAGCGAATCTGGAAGATGGGGGGCGGGGGGGGGATGACAAAGGCGCTGAGAACTCTTTTTTTTCCTCTTATCGTTATGAGGGTTTTTTATAACCCTTTTTTTTTTTTTGCCTTTTGGGTCACACCCCGCAATGCACAGGGGTAATTCCTGCCTCTGCACTCAGGAATCACTCCTGGCTGTGCTTGGGAGACCCTATGGGATGCCGAGGATCGAACCCAGGTCAGCCACGTGCAAGGCAAATGCCCTACCCGCTGTGCTATGGCTCCAGCCCAATAATAATAATAATAATAATAATAATAATAATAATAATAATTGCCTTTTTGGCAACCTCGATAAAGCCAACACAGAAGGGAGGATGATCCCAGGAAGCTCAGGGGATCCCAGGTATGGAGGGGGCCCTGCCACCAGTGTGTGCGGATGCCGGCGGCCTCTGGGACTGCAGAGGCCCGGGGAGTTTTTCTGCCTTTGCTTCCCTTTTTCCTGAAAAAGGCGACGGGTGTCATGCCCCTGAATGGCCACACGAGGGCGCCCCACCCCACGTCCTGAACATGATCTTCTGCTCCAAATTGCCTCCAATTTTGTAATTACAGGGAATCTTCAGGATCCCGGGGGCAAACAGCGCTGAGAATTTTGTTGTGGTGGTGGTTGTCGTTCCTCCACACCTGGTGCTGCTCAGGGGGGGATTATATTGCCTGGGACTCTTGCATGGTAACCTCTGCCCTTGGAACCAGCCCTTCAGTCTGTAGTTATGAGAATATTTTTTTTTCTTTTTGGATCACACCCGGCAATGTACAGGGGTTACTCCTGGCTTTACACTCAGGAATCACTCCTGTTGGTGCTCAGGGGACCATATGGGATGCTGGGAATCGAACCTGGGTCAGCCACATGCAAGGCAAATGCCCTACTCGCTGTACTATCGCTCCAGCCCTTCTAGCTATGAGAATTTTTTTTTTTGCATTTTGGATCACACCCAGCAAT